GCGCAGTGGAGATGGATAAACATATGACCTCCAGGGGCGAAATTGTTTGATCCATATCCACGGAGCCTCTGGTATCGGAGGAAGGGAGCCCGAAACTCTAAGACGCATTGGATATGGATAGAATCTTGCCCGCACCCAGACCCCCGACGTCATGGCTTGTTTCATGACGTCGACCCCCAGAGGTCTCGACCCACTCCCTGGGACCCGGTTCTTCCTCCCGGGTCGTCTATGGGCGGTCCCGAGGGCCGGTATTGGGCCCCCAGAGGCCGAAAATGAGGAAAGCCCCTTCGTCGCCATTTTTGTCCAGTTGCGAGGGGGTCTGGGCCTCCGCGGGCGCCCGCGCAGGTTCGGCCAGGGCTTCCACGCCGCCGCGTGCGCCGACCAGTGGGCCGCGCAGGCCATGGCCCGCGTCGTGGGCAGGACCGCCGCTGCCCAGGGGGCGCAGGGGAAGGAGCACTGGCGGGACGCGAAGCAGGAGGAGGAGGAGGAGGAGAAGGAGGAGGAGGAGGAGAAGGAGGAGGAGGAAGAGGAGGAGGAGGAGAGGGAGAGGAGGAGGAGGAGGAGAGGAGGAGGAGGAACAGGAGGAGGAGGAGGAGGAGGAGGAGGAGGGAGGGAGGGAGGGAGGGAGGGAGGGAGGACGCAAAGAAGGACGAAAGAAGAGGAGGAGGACGAAAGAAGAAGAGGGGAGAAGGGCCCGCAAGGGGGGTGCGTGGGCCAACAGTGTCCAGGACAGCCCCAGCTCCACAAGGGGCCGCACGGGGCCAGAAGCCATTTTAAGGGCCGCGGCCAGCGCCGAGTCCACCCAGGGCCGAAACTCCAATTGCTCGCTGCGGGAGTTGAGTCTGGTGACTCAGCTGTTCACGTGCCAGGGCTGCTAAAACTGCTGGAAACACGCAGAGCTTTCAACTGACGTTCCAATTCTGCTAAGGACGGCGCGGAGGGGGCTGCGACTGAGGCCAGCCACTGAGGAAGGGGGAAGCCTGTACCATGCATCACGGGCGTCACGCGTTCGCTCAGAGCTTGAGGCTGGCGAGACAATTCCGGAGTGGTGGATGTACCCCCCAGGAGTCGACATCAGTGGAGGAAGAGCGGCTGCAGCCGCCAAAACGGGCATCTGCATCGCAGCATCAGCAGGCTCTGCTTCTTGGGAAGATTCCGGGTTGTCGTCCTCGCGAGGAGCAGCACTCAATGTGTCGCTGGCCCGGTGCCGTGCCCCGCGCTGCCTTGGCCGCAACCACGTCGCGATCCACGGGCGACCGGGTCTCCATCTTCGCCAGGCCCTCGCGCACGAGCTGGAGGGACCGCACGAGCAGGACGACCAGGGGAACCCGCATGACGTGGTGAGAGCCATACCTGAGCGACTGATGTGCCATCGCTGTGGAGATGGCCCCGACCCGCAGCGGTGAAGGTCGGGAGCTGCACGAGGATGGCCTCAACGAGCGCACGTAGCGCGGCGGCCTGCACTGGACTTGCCGACGACGCGCCAGCAGGGGCGAGAACCATTTTGATCTTGGCCTTGCCTGCTTCCCGAGCCTGGCTCAAAGAGAGGTGCACGTCTCTCCCTGCGGCGGACTGCCTCATCACCCAATCTAGTCGAGCAGAAACCACCATGGCAGCCTCCTCCTCCTCCTCCTTCTCCTCCTCTTCCGCCCTCTTGTCCTCTTCCGCCCTCTACTCCTCTTCCGCCCTCTCCTCCTCCTCCTCCTGCTGCTGCTGCTGCTCCTCCTCCTCCTCCTTCTCCTCCTTCTCCTCCTCCTCCTCTTCCGCCCCCTCCTCCTATTCCGCCCTCTCCTCCTCCTCCTCCTCCTCCCCTCCTTCCTTCTCCTCCTTCTCCATCTCCTCCTCTCGCCCTCTCCCTCCTATTCGCCCCCGCCTCCTCCTCCTCCTCTTCCTCCTCCTCTTCCTTCTCCTCCTCCCTTCCTTCTCCTCCTCCTATTTCCGCCCTCATCCTCCTCCTCCTCCTCCTCCTCCTCCTCCTCCTCCTCCTCGTCCTCCTCCTCCTCCGCCTGCTCCTCCTCCTCCTAGCCTCCTCCTCTCTTCCTTCTCCTCCTCCTCCTCCTCCTCCTCCTCCTCCTCCTCCTCCTCTTCCGCCTCTCCTCCTATCTGCCCTCCTGCTTCATCCTCCTCCTTCCTCCTCCTCCTCCTCCTCCTCCTCCTCCTCCTCCTCTCCTTCCGCCCCTCCTCCTCTTCCGCCCTCTCCTCCTCTTTCCGCCTATCCTCTGCCTCCTCCTCCTCCTCCCTCCTGCTCCTCCTCCTCCTCCTCTCTTTCTTCTCCTCTCCTCTTTCGCCCTCATCCTCATATCCGCCCTCGATCCTCCTCCTCCTCCTCCTCTCCTCTCCTTCTTCCTCCTCCTCCTCGTCCCCCTCTCCTGCTCCTCCCCTCCTACTGCTTCCTTCCTCTCGCTTCCCTCCTCCTCTTCCGCCCTCTCCTCTATTCCGCCTCCTCTCCTCCTCCTCCTCCTCCTCCTCCTCCTCCTCCTCCTCATCTTCTGCTCCTCCTCCTCCTCCTCCTCCTCCCCTCTCTTCCTCCTCCTCCTCCTCCTCTTCCGCTCTCTCCTCCTATTCCGCCCTCTCCTCCTCCTCCTCCTGCTCCTCCTCCTCCTCCTCCTCCTCCTCCTCTTCCTTCTCCTCCTCCTCTTCCGCCCTCTCCTCCTCCGCCGCCGCCGCCGCCCGCGGCTGCCGCCCGCGGCCCCTCCCAATGGCTAGCAGGATTGCTCCTGCACGGGTCGTCGACCCGGAGCAGCTCTTCCGGACCTACAACGTGACTGGCACGGGGTCCATGACCAGGCACGAGTTCGAGCGGATGTCGGGGGCGGCCAAGAGGGGGGTGATGACTAGGGGGGGTGGATACATGCCGGGGGCCATGATATCTCCCCAGATCTCATGGCGCCTCTTCTTATTTCAATACGTCCCGGCCCCCCCCCCTGGGCCGCGCACATGCCGCCGGTCATGATTTGCGCCCCTCCCCTCTTGGACGCCCCCCTCTTGGACGTCCCCGAGGATGCTGCTGAACCAGGGCATGAACCTGCGCCACGACGAGATGGATACGCTGTGGCGGATGGCGGACGCCAACGGCAACGGTACCGTCGACCTCTTCGAGTTCTGCACCACCATGCGCCGGTTCCAGCTCGAGGCCGTTGCCCCAGGGACCAGCAGTGGCCTGCCAGGCGCTGGCGCGCTTGAGTGCCTGGCGGCGCACCTGGACCCCCGGGGGGGATCTTTGGTCTGGAAGCGCGGGCATTCATGCGTCCTCCTCCTCCTCCTCTTCCTCCTCCTCCTCCTCCCTCCTCCTCCTCCTCCTCCTCCTCCTCCTGCTTCTTCCTCCTCCTCCTTCCTCCTCCTCCTTCTCCTCCTCCCTCCGCCCTCCCCTCTCCTCCTCCCTTCTTCCTCCTGCTCCTCCTCCTGCTCCTCCTCCTCCCCCTCCTCCTCCTCCTCCTCCTCCTCCTCCTCCTCCTCCTCCTCCAGTCCTCCTCCTCCTCTCCTCCTCGCCTCCTCCTTCCTCCTCCTCCTCCTCCAGTCCTCCTCCTCCTCCTCCTCCTCCTCCTCCTCCTCCTCCTCCTCCTCCTCCTCCTCCTCCTCCTCCTCCTCCTCTCCCTCCGCCTGGCGGCGCGCCTGGACCCCCGGGGGGGATCTTTAAACTAAACGCGCGGGCATTCATGCGTCCTCCTCCTCCTCCTCCTCCTCCTTTTGATGCGCGTTTGCGCATGGGCCTCGCGATTCTGCCCTTTCTGGCAGGACCGCCGGCTGCGGGAGAAGGGGCTCACCCTGGCGCAGGCCTTTGCGCTCTTCGACGCCCACGGGTCCGGCTTCGTGGACCGGTCTGGGCTGGGCCAGCTTCTGGCCGCGGCGAACATCCAGCTGGGCGACGCGGAGCTGAACGACGTGGTCCTCGCGTGCGACACTTCGTGCAATGGCACCGTGAACTATAGGTCAGAGAAGGAAATCGAGCAGTGGCGAAGCATCCCGGCTTGCCTATAGGCCCACCAAAGAATGTTCTAAGAACCTTGTGTGGTCTGCACGAAGTGTTCTTAGAACCTTTTTCTGGCCGGGACCGTCTTGTTTTCACACATCGGGTTTATGTTCTGAGACCATTGTTTTGGTTCTTCGAACTTTTTAGGACTCTAATAAAGAGCAGTTCGTGGTAGGCCTAGAAGACTGCCAGGACGGTCGGTCCCTGCTGAAGAAAAGGCAGCGATTCTTCTACCCTAGCATCGTTTTTCCTAGCATCGTTTTCCCCTTTTTGGGCCTCCTGGGAGGCTCCCGTCACCACCGCTGGATTCGCCTCGAAATCCTGATCAGAACGCGCCCTGGGAGATGTCCCAGGAGCAGCGCTATTGGTCCTTTTTGGTTCCCCCAACAGGGCACTCCTGAGCCTGTTCGACCCCGCCTCCCAGGCCAGCGCGGCTGCCGACGCGGCCACAAGAATGGACATCGACAGAGCCGCGTGGGACCGTGTCGCTCAGGTAGCTCGGCACTTGCACCAGAAGGAGCAGTATTTGATGAGGAGGGGGCGGAGGAGGAGGAGGAGGATGAGGAGGAGGAGGAGGAGGAGGAGGAGAATCTGGAGGAGGCGGAGGAGGATGAGGAGGAAGAGGGCGGAGGATGAGAGGATGAGCAAGTATGGGAGGGGAGGATGAGGAGGAAGGGAAGGAGAGAGGAGGAGGAGGAGGAGGAAAGAGAAAGGAGAAGGAGGAGGAGGCGGAGGAGGAGTAGTGGAGGAGAAAGAAGAGGAGGCGGAAGGAGGATTAGATGAGGAGGCTGAGGAGAATGAATGATGATAGAATGAGAGGAGGAGGAAGATGACGGGGGGAGAGGAGGGAGGGAGGAGGAGGAGGAGAGGAGGAGAAGGTGGAGGACGAGGAGGAGGAGGAGGAGGAGAAGGAGGAGGAGAGGAGGAGGAGGAGGAGGAGGAGGAGGAGGGATTGAGGGGGAGGAGAGGAGGAGGGAGAAGATGAATGTATTGGGCACTTCTTCAGTTTCAGTTTTTTGTCGGGACCTCCGAGGCTTGACCGCCGCCAGCTCGCGCCATCCAGGAGATGGCGGGGGGCCGCGGCCTTGCAGCCCCGCCCCCGCAGCCACCGTGCACGGCCGCATATCTTTTCACAACGCACGCGCCGTGGGCTGGGAGGCTTTAGCCCCTGGAGCGGTCGCCGCCCACGGCTCCATGCCTCAGCACGACAGCACCGAGCACCCCAGTCTTCGTCGGCATATAGGCGAGGAGGGGGAGGAGGAGGAGGAGGAGGAGGAGGAGGAGGAAGAGAGGGATGAGGAGGATGAAGAAGAACATACATACTACTAAGAAGAAAAACTCATAAGCATAATACGACACACTAACTACTACTACTACTACGACTACTATACTACTACTAACTAACTACAGTACTAGTACTAGTAACTATACTAGTACACTAACTACTAGTACTACTACTACTACTACCACTACACTACTACTACTATACCACTACACTACTATACTACAGTAAAATAGTATAGTAGTAGTAGTAGTATTAGTAGTAGTAGTAGTAGTAGTAGTAGTAATGATAAGAAGACGAATAATAATACTAATACGAATAACAAGAAGACGACGAAAAAGAAGGACACGCAATAAGGACTACGAACAACATGACGAACAAGGATACTAATACGAATAAGACGAAACTACTATTAACACGAAGACTAAGATTAACAATACTAATAAGAAGAATACGAAGAAGCATATGCAACATAACAATAACACGAATAAGGAGAATACGACTAATACTACTAATAAGAAGACGAAGACGACGAGGAAGACTAATAACAATATTATCCAGACGAGTACTGATAATATTAATCATCCGACTAAGAAGAAGACTACTACGACGAATCAGAAGACGAATACGACGAATAGTACTACCAATACTAATACGAATGATAATGCGAATAGTAAGCATACTAATAATAACAAGAAGATTAATAATACTAAGAATAATAGTCGTAAGCATACTAATAAGAATAATAATTCTACGACTGCTAACAATAATACTAATAATAATACAAAGAAGAAGAAGAGGATGAGGAGGTTCCCATCGGAGTCTCCCCCCAGCCGCAGTGGCGCTTCGCCCGCGACGGCCGCCCCGCGCGGACCGCGCACGGGCCACGGCTCGGGAGGGCCGCGCCCCTGGGGGCCGCCCACCTCTCCACGCGCGTCTTGCGGAGGCGCGTGGAGCCCGGGGGCCGAGCGCGCCCTCTGTGAAGGTCGCGGTCCACCCCCGGGATCCTCGTCACCCCGTGCAGCGCCCTCAGCACGCGCGTGCTGGGCGTCCTGCACGGCATGCCTGCCAGGGAAGGTGGCAGTACACCCTAGGCGATGCTTAAGAAAACTTAAGTTTTCGGCCAGAGTCTCGATTATTCTTGACGTTCCAATGTAAATCTTAAGATTTTGATGGGAATCTTGGGCTGTACTGGCTGCTGTCCTTCTCTGTGCGTCTCGGGCTGGGCGTCGTCGCTGGGCGTGCCAGTGCCGTGTCCGTCGCTGCCGTCGGGTTGGTTGTAGGTGTTGGACTCATGTGCTGCGATGTCGAGCCAACGTTGGAGCTTGTATCCGAGGCTGTTGTACCCATGGCGTCATTTGCATTATGTTCGCATCTTTTCGGAGATGCACTCCGTGGTGGTGGCGCCACATTGTCTGCAGACCCAGCGTGTCTCTGCACGTATGAAGATGAGTGGGTGGCTGTGGTGTGCAGTGTGGCCGTGCTGTGCGATGGAGTGTCCTTGGCTCGGTGGTGGTCCAGCGCAGCCCTGTTGGAACCAAGTTCGCACTCCTTCGAAGCTGGTGTCCCGTCCAACTCGTTGTGTGCAACACTTGCATACCCATCCTTTTCCTCGTCGTGGCCTCGTCAGGTCGTGGGTGGTTAGTGGGCGTCGTCCGTTAGGCTGTGGTGGTCCGTCGGCAAAGTAGTCCTGTCGTCGTCTTTGCTGTGCTCGTCGTTGCTTCGACTGGGCTCGTCGTGCTGCTCGAACTTCGTGGTCCTCTGTTGGGCGTCGGTCTATGGCGTCGACTGTAGCGGCGGCGATGCGGCTTCGTACAACTGCTGCCGTAGCGTTGATCCAGTCGTAGCATGACATTTGGGCGTCGCCGATGTCGTGCTCGTGAACTGCTTTCTCTGCAAGCCTGTCCACCTGGCTGTTGCCGTACCACGCGTGAAGGGGAAACCCTCGTGCTTGTGCTTCCTCCCAGGTGAGGTGGCTGTTGATGTGGTGGACTGCTATTTGTGACGGCCCCTGGTCGTCGCGGCGGTTGAGCTCGTCCCCGATGAGTTCCCAGAGGTCGTCGTTGGTGTCGGCTGTGGCTTTGTTCCGAGATCGTCTGTCGCGCCATCCCTTGTACACGAGTTCGCTGTCCGCCCAGTAGTGTAGTGGTTCAGTGGTGTGGCGTAGGCAGTCTAGGAGGGCCCATAGTTCTGCTTGGTTGCTTGTCTGTCGTCTGTGCGGTAGGGGTCCGAAGCGTGCTGCTGCAATGTTGAAGCCGTCGTTGTCGGAGCCTGATAGCCGCGCCCAAACCCATCCACATCTGCGGTACCGCCAGTCTGCGCTGCGAGCGCCTCCCGAACCGTCTCCATATATGACCAGGGGCGACCCGTCTAGTGTGCTGATCTTGTCTGCGTGGATCATCTCGCCGATATTGCCGGCCTCCTCTTCGGTGGTGCATTCTGGCGGTACCGACCAAGCATGCGGCGTGATGCCGCGTAGCCAGAAGGCTGGCGTGGTGTGGTGACCTGATTCGGCTTGTGTCCGTAGTCGGTCGGACTTGTCGTAGGCGGGGTTGTCGCTGCGGCAGCTGCACTCGCCCCAGATGCGGTGGTAGTCGGTGTCGATCTGGCCGCACTCGCAGAGGTTGCTCCCGTGGCCGAAGGTGGTCTGCTGTCGTGTTTGCGTCCATGTGCCTGCGCATGCCGCTGTGAGGAGCCCCCTTTACTCGCGGTGCTTGTCGTGGTTTCTGAGCCGTTGTAGATGCCGTCGAAGATCCGTCGTGTCTGCTCCGTGCTGTTCCAGGCCCCCTCCGTGGTAGTGGCTGGCTGCGGCTGTCCAGAGCTTCACGCGGACGTCGTTCAAGATGGCGTCAAGAATGTCTGTTGGGTCGCCTAGCTCGCCATCTTGTGGGAACTTCCAGTCGCAGCCTTCGCTGTCGATCCAGTAGTCGGGGCCTCTGGAGTCCCAGCCGAGCTCCCACGATGCCATGATGATGGCTGCGATGGGGCCTCGGCGTTGCGTCCATCGTCGTGTTGCAGGTACCTTTAACATCCTGAAGTAGATCTTGGGCCACGCGCGTCGTACTTGTGCGCGAAGGTCGGGGCTGTGAGCCCAGCAGCTAAACCAGTTGGAGAACTGCGTCCTCGCAGTGGCTGCACTAGCCTGGCCTTTGTTGTGGTGTGGAGTCTCTTGAGCTTGGTTCGTACTGCTCCCAATCGGCGCCTCGCTGCTGTCCATCTTGCTGCGTGGGTCGCTCGTCGGGTGGTGCCGCGTGCTGCTCGGTCTGCTCCCAGGTCGCGTCCTTCCGTGGATGCCTGGACGTCGATGCCGAGGTCGCGGAGTTGGCGCTGGATTGTCTTGGTGTCTTTGATGTGCGTGGTCATCAGTGTGGTTTTCTTTGTCTACGAGACGGAGCCCTTGTTCCTTTAGTACCAGGAAGAGGCTGTGGGTGGTGGACACAGTGGCAGTGGTGATCTGGGACCTGCTGCCTACGATGCTGATGCTGATGTCATCGAATCACGCGAGTGGTAGAGGTCGTGGTAGTGTGCTGGTGTCGGTAAGCTTGGCCATCGCCGCGTATACTACAGTGCGCGCTACATTGTTGGCATGTCGTGAGCCTGCCAAGATGGAGCGGTCTGCGTAGAGCGGGTTGGAGTACGACCCTTGTCGTCGTAGCACTCGTGCAGCGGAATGTTGTAGCATCATGAGGTAGAGTGGCCGCGCTGGGAACTGCATGTGGAGCGCGGCTGGGATGGTCTTGTCGATCCGAAGGCTGTCGTAGAACTTCTCGGCCATGTTGAAGGTGTCGGCGCACTCGTCGGTGATGAGTCGTCGTAGAGCCTCGCGCAGGCAGCTGTTGCCCGCGATGGTGGCATCTCATTCACGTTCTTGGTCTGCAGCTCATTGGCGGACTCGGTCTCTGTGTAGGAGCTCCCAGCATCGGAAAAGTGGTGGAAGTAGCGCCAGCGCACGGTCTCCTCTCTTCGGCTTCGGGGTGATCATGACGATGGATAGCAGCAGTTGCCATGGCCACGTCAGTCGGTGCTCGCATAGGCTGAAGAGGTCGATGACTGCTGGGCGTCCTGGTCGTGGTGGGCGTCGTATGTCGCTGCGCCTGATGACGTCGACGCCGTTGCCCGTGTCGGGCCCTCCTTGGAGGCAGCGGTCGAGGTCCTCTGCGGTCCACGGTGGTGTGGGGTCTTCGTGTCGTGCTCGCTCTCGGAGCGCTGCTGGTAGTGCTGGGTGCCGGTGGTGTGGGATGTCGCTGCACGTCCAGGTCCTGGTGAAGTCTGCGGCCTTGGCGTCGACGATCTCGAGCGGGCTACCTAGCACTTCGCCTTGGATTGCGACTTCCTGTTCTCGACGTGGTGCTGGTTTGGTGACCTTGTGTAGCACTCCAGGTGTCGTGCTGGCTGTCGCGAGCCACGCACTGTACTCGCGTTGGCTGATGCGGTCGGAGGGCGTTGCTCTTCTCGTCCTGCGCTTGTTGTGCCATGCCCTGGAGCGTGTCTGTTGGTGTGCCTTCGAGGTTGTCGAGTCGTTGTTTCCAAAGTTGGTGGTGCAGTCGTGCCGTGTCCGGTGCATGGCGTCCGAGTGGTGGCAGTCCTTCTCGTGGCAGGAGGCACCACCTGTGCGTTCAAGCGCAGCGCCAGGCCCAGCAGCTTCGTCTTCAAGCTTCTCTCCTGCTCCTGTGGAGGTCTCCCTCCAGATCTGCAGCTCTCCGCCGAGCTGCACCACGTCCGCCTTAGAGCGGCGAGTCGGGGAGCTCCTGTGCCACTCCGTAGTGAACCACTGCAATGGCGCCAACATCGCAGAGCGGATTTCGCTCGGAAAACCATGGGTTGGGTCCAGTTTGTCCTGGTGAATTTGGTTTTGGAATTCGACGTGGATTTCGTGCGGATGCTCTTCATAGCCCTCCACGAGGCCCGGCATCTCCATGCCTCTTGCCCTTCAGCAGGATCCTGTCTTTAGGGCCGATGGCGAAGTACTGATGAGCCTTGGCTCCAGTGGGTAGCCCGTGCTCTCCATGACACACATCTGCCCGATCTTCATCTCAAGCCCTTCCGACGTGTTCAGCTCGCGATCCACGGAGCCCCGCATCGCATATTGGATCCTCTCATTGCCAGCGACCGCGGCGCTGGGCTGGGGCTCAATCGAAGCAGTGTCATGTTGAGGCCATGGCCACAGCGTTTTTTTCGACTCTCAGAGTTGCCTGTGAATTTCCACTTTCAGTCCGTGGCGCCTCACCGCCGTCAGCGGCAGAGGCTTCAATTAGGGGGACGAGAAATGACATAAACATAACAACTCGGAGGTCCGCGCGGATTTCTTGGATTCGCGCAGGACTCCCCTCCCTGAGAGCGCCAGGGCCGGCGCCGGAGGCGCCGCCAGGGGACCCCAGCGCCAATCCGAGAAATCCGCGCGGACCTCCGAGTTTTTGTGTTTATGTCATTTTTCGTTCCGCTATTGATGCAGCAGGCATCATGGCAGCAACACTTCTTCCTCCAATTCTGTTTGACTCCAGCGGTGCGACGCCCCGAGAGCCTCGCCTCGCGCGCAGCACCACGGCGAGCGCCTTGCTCGAGCCGCAGCCGCCGTCATGCGTCCCCGTGAAGTCTCGGGAGGAGGCGCAAGCGCATGCTCGAGCCTTCAGGGCTTGAGCCAGAATGGCTACGCTGGATTTCACAACAAAAGGGTGGTGGTATGATTTTTTTGGGGTCTGATTTGAGCTGTCTCGGTGGGCTCCAGTGGTGTCTGGGCACAACGCAGCCCTTTCAGGACCGGTCTGGGGGGGTTCTAAAACTGGTCGCCTGGGAAGGTTGTGACCCCTTCCACGTCATTATGAAATGTGGAGTATTGCAGAGGAGGAGCAGGAGCAGGAGGAGGAGGCGCAGGAGGAGCAGGAGGATAGAGGATGAGGAGTAGGTGCGTTGGCGCTGGAGGAAGAGGGTGGCGGGAGAGAGCGGGAGGGATGCGAGGGACCACCTCCTTTAAGGGTCGACCTAAACAGTGTTCTTCTTTTGGTTTTGCTTCAGTCTTCCCTCGCTTTGTCTCCAATTCGCCTCTGCTGCGAGGCGAGATCGAAACGACCACGGCACACGACATCGCCCAAAACACCGTTTGGTCGACCCCTGACCTCGCCCAGGTGGCGCAGCACCTGCACCAGCGCGGTTGCAACCTGCAGACGGCATTCCTGATCTTCGACGGCAACGGCGATGGCCAGCTCGATGGCAACGAGTTCCACCAGCTGCTGACCTCCAGCGGCGGCTCCATCAGCCGGCAGGAGATCGAAGCAGAAAAGACCACCCCGACCCCCACATAATTGGCGTTCATCCACCGCCCTGGGCCTCCCTTCCCACAGGCCTGCCCTCTTTCGACTCCTTCCCTGGATTTGTGAACTGGAGGGCCTGGCCTGCAGGGGCGCTTGTGTAAAGAGTGTGGCTGTATCTGCCCTAGATCACGGCCGGGAAAAAGTCGCCTCGAAACGCCCGTTTTGAAACGCAACACGTCCCGTGTTCAAGACGTCCGTGTCAATACGTTGCGTGTTGGCTCCACGTATTGGCCCACGTTTTGGTGAACGTATCGCGTCGGACCTGCGTTTTCAGTCCACGTGTTGAGCTCCGTATCGATACGCTACGTGTCGCGTGTTGCGTATCGGGGCAGCTACAGGCCGGGAGCGTTTGATTCACGTGCCGCGCCGCGAGTTCTGGCCCGTCGCGCCGCGGCGCGACGCGCTCTTCCCTTCCCCGCCCCCAGGACTCTCGGGCCGGACGAAAGGGGGGGATAGGGAAAAGGGGGGTCACGAAGTCTGCTGCATGCAGCTGGCTTCGGCCTCACCCAGGGGCCCATTCCTCGATACGCAGCCGCCTCCGGCGCTGGGAGGCGCCGCGGGGAAAATCAGCTACGCGAGCTGATTCTCCCCCCCCCCCCCCCCTTTGCTATCCCCCCCTTTCGCCCGGCCCGAGGTTGGGGCTACATCCCACGGAAGGCCTCCGCGACCACGATGGCGGGGGGCGCCCCGTGCTGTGCCGTGCGCCAGTGCGCGTCCCTTCTCTCTCAAGAGTCAGGAGGGGAAAACACACACAGACACAATTAGTCGCCGACCCCCAGGAAAACAGGGGAAACTATGGGGAGTGGTGGGGGAGACAGAAACCCAGAACATATGTGGAAATATGGGGAATGTTTTCCATTTGTGTGTATTTAGTTGTGTGTCCTAGGGCCCCTTTAAAGAGGTCCTGCTAGCCTCGACGACTCGACGCCCGACCCGAGGCTCCGCCCCGACGCCTCGACGCCTCCTGCCAGCCTCGACCCGAGGCTCCACGCCTCGACCTCCCCCGAGCCCCCCCGCCCCGCGCAGCGGAGCGACACGCCACCCGCTCGCGGGGCGCAGCGTGCCGCCCTCGGCGGCTGCCGCGGCACCTCCTCCTCCTCCTCCTCCTCCTCCTCCTCCTCCTCCCTCCTCCTCCCTCCTCCCTCCTCCTCCTCCTCCTCCTCCTCCCTCCTCCTCCTCCTCCTCCTCCTCCTCCTCCTCCTCCCTCCTCCTCCCTCCTCCTCCTCCGCCTCCTCCTCCTCCTCCTCCTCCTCCTCCTCCTCCTCCTCCTCTCCTCCCCTCCTCCTCCCTCCTCCTCCTCCTCCTCCTCCTCCTCCTCCTCCTCCTCCTCCTCCTCCTCCTCCTCCTACTCTCCTCCTCCTCCTCTCTCCTCCTCCTCCTCCTCCCTCCTCCTCCTCCTCCTCCTCCTCCTCCTCCTCCTCCTCCCTCCTCCCTCCTCCCTCCTCCTCCTCCTCCCTCCTCCTCCTCCTCCTCCTCCTCCTCCTCCTCCTCCTCCTCCTCCTCCTCCTCCTCCGACCGTGGCGTGGCGAAGCGCGGCGCTCGTCCGGCGGGCAGGGGCGGCGGCAGGCGCAGGCAGGAAGCGGGGGCGGCCCTTGCCGGCGGGAGGGCGGGCGGACGGCGGGCGGCAGCCGGCGGAAGTGAGCAGTGCGCTCGGGTGTTGCCAGAAGTGCCCCTGGCCCAAGCCCTCCTCCTCCTCCTCCTCCTCCCCCTCCTCCTTATCCTCCTTATCCTCTTGCCAACGCTCGGACGCCCATTTCCCGCGCATTTCTGAGGTTTCGTGCGTGTTTTGTTGTTGGCTCGATGGTCCAGGATGGTCCTCGGTGGTCCTCGCCGAGGACAAAAAGATCACGCGCGTCCGAGAGATGCCAAGGCCACCGCCGGCCCCGCAGCCCAGGCGGGCAGGCAGACAGACAGACACACAGACAGACAGACAGACAGACAGACAGACAGAAGCCCAGAGATCCAACGTAGTGAAAAAATCAAGACGGAGGTTTTTTTCTCCAGTTTCGGCCTCCGGGGGCCCTCGCCGGGCCCCGGGACCGTCCAAAGACGACTCAGGATGAAAGACCGGTCTTGTGGAAAGGGTCGAGACTTCGGGGGACCGCGTATTGAAGAAATCACGGCATCGGATCTCTGGGAGGTGCCCCCAGCTTTTCGCTCCATTTCAGAGCCCCTGGGGTCCTCTGGGCCTGGTGAAGGGTGCCCCGGAGGCCGCCCTGGCCACCCCGAGGAGCCTGGGGGTACCTTGGGCCAGGGTGCTTCTAGCAACACCTGATGCGTCCCCACGAGATGGCAAAGCGTTTGGTTCAGGCCTTCCGAAACCCGCCTTTCTCTGCCCTCGCTCAGGGTCGGCGTCGTCCCAGTATCCTGATACTATGTGCGCGCCGCCCCCCGCCCCCATGGGCGACGCGCGCGCCGAGCAATCTCGTAGCACCAGCTCCGTGGCGGGCGCTTTCTGCCCATGCCGCTCGGGAAACGACGGGCTGCACGATGGCCGTACGAGATGTTCCCTCCAAGGAATTAGTACAGTCGGCCCAGATTAGTAGGTCGACCCTGCCAGCTCAAGGGCGCCCTCGTGTCCCGTGCCTCGCGACCCGTGCCTTCCTGCACTCCTGTGGCGCTGTGGCCCTCGGAAGGGTCTTGTGTCCCCTCGCGTGCCCTGTCCAATCCAGGCCGACCGTGCGTCCCTGTGCGCCCCACAGGACAGCGACGCGGCCTTCGTCCGGGTGGCCGGCGCGCAGGGGCAGCTCAACCTCCCCCAGTTCGTGCAGGTGTTCGGCCTGCCCGCCGAGCTCCTCGCGGCCCAGGCCGCCCCGCAGCGCCCGAGGGCGGCGGCGCCCCCCATGCCCGGGACGCCCCTGCACTCGCTGCTGGTGCGCGGAGGGAAGCGAAGAGTAAAGGACAGCTGCACGAGAATGAGAGGTTTTCTGTGTCCCCCGGGCGCCAGCGGGCGCTGCCCCAGAGGAGAGGAGAGAGAAGCCACCCAGACCGCGGCCCTTTCCCCGTGTGCCCCCCTCTTTGGCACATCCTCTGGTCAGACCGCACCCCGGGAGAGGTCCAGGGAGTAGTGGTATTCATGCCTTTTGGTTTCCCAAGTCTCGGGGAGGGGGGGAGGAGGAGGGAGCCGGTAATGTCACGTTTCGCGCCGGCGCCGTCTAGGAATGCCAACCAACAAGACAACTCGGCCCCCAGCACGAATCGTGACGTTGCCTGTCGGAGAAACGTAAGACTCGAGTAAGCCGGAACCAGGGTTTGCCGACGTTTTTTGACGAACGCCTCGTGGATTTTGACGGTCCAGTTTCCGTGGCATGCTTGCAGCGGGAGGTCGCGCCGAATTTCAGGTGGGGTCTCGTCGTTTTTATGATGGGCCAACCCGAGTCCCCCGTGCCCGAGCCTTACGTCTCCCGCAAACCTGGGGTGCACCAGGCAGGCGCGCCGGGCATGCGGGGAAGGAGACAGACTGCAAGCTCTTGCCCAGGATCCTCACGTTTGGAGACCTAGTTTCGGGGAGATGTGTAGGCAGTGTACGAGTGTGTGCTTGCCGACGCGCCATGGGCGTAGAGCTCCCAGAGATCCGATGCCGTGATTTTTCCAATGCGCGGTCGCCCGAAGTCTCGATCCATTGCCCAGGACGGGTTTGTCATCTTGAGTTGTTTTTTGACGGTCCCGGGGCCCTGCGAGGGCCCCTGGAGGCCGAAACTTGAGAGAAACCTCCGTCTTGATTTTTTCAAGACGTTGGATCTCTGCGCTTCTGTCTGTCTGTCTGTCTGTGTGTCTGTCTGTCTGTCTGCCCGCCTGGGCTGCGGGGCCGAGGGTGGCCAAGGCATCTCTCGGACGCGCGTGATCTTTTTGTCCTCGGCGAGGACCACCGAGGACCATCCTGGACCATCGAGCCAACAACAAAACACGCACGAAACCTCAGAAATGCGCGGGAAATGGGCGTCCGAGCGTTGGCAAGAGGATAAGGAGGATAAGGAGGAGGAGGAGGAGGAGGAGGAGGAGGAGGAGGAGGAGGAGGAGGAGGAGGAGGAGGAGGAGGAGGAGGAGGAGGAGGTGCCGCCGTCGCGCGTGCGGCCTCCGGGGCCGCGCGCGCCCCGCAAGCAGCGGCGCCTCGGGGGCCGCCGCGGCGTCGGAACGCTGCGGCGGCCGCCGCGGCGGCCGCGGGCGCGCCTCCCCGGGCGGAGAGCGCCTCTCTCTCGGGGGGGCCCCGGCCGATTCGATTCGATTCGATTTCGATGGCTTCCGATTCCGATTCGATTCGACTTGAGATTCCGACTTGGGCTCCGATTTCTGATTGAAGGCCTACTAGCCTGCCGATGTCTGCCGATTCGACTTTTCCCGATTCAGCTGCCGATTTCCGCCGATCCGATTCAGTTCGATCGCCGATCCGACTTACCGATTCGATTCTGGGCTCTCCCGCCCGGGGGTCGGCCTATAGGCATGGCTCGGCGGCGCCTCCGCGCCCTCGCTCCCCAGGCAGGATCGCGTCGCTAAAAAAACAGGACGTTTTTTTTTTCCCAACCATCCTGTGGTGTTGGGTCCTCGTTTTGAAGAGACAGCGCCCCGCGTCCACTCCTCCTCCCGCTGCCCCCTTCCTCCTCTTCATCCCTGCGTTTCACCCACCGCTTCGTGGCCCCATAGGGAGCTCCACCGAAGGCCCCACTGGCAGGGTTCGCATGGCGGCCTCGGGCCATTTCGGCACACCCCTCACGAAGATCGTGGCCCCATAGGGAGCTCCACCGAAGGCTCCAGTGGCAGGGTTCGCATGGCGGCCTCGGGCCATTTCGGCACACCCCTCACGAGGATCGTGGCCCCATAGGGAGCTCCACCGAAGGCTGCAGTGGCAGGGTTCGCATGGCGGCCTCGGGCCATTTCGGCACACCCCTCACGAGGATCGTGGCCCCATAGGGAGCTCCACCGAAGGCTCCAGTGGCAGGGTTCGCATGGCGGCCTCGGGCCATTTCGGCACACCCCTCACGAGGATCGTGGCCACATAGGGAGCTCCACCGAAGGCGCCAGTGGCAGGGTTCGCATGGCGGCCTCGGGCCATTCGGCACCCCTCACGAGGATCGTGGCATGGGAGCTCCACCGAAGGCCCCAGTGGCAGGGTTCGCATGGCGGCCTCGGGCCATTTCGGCACACCCCTCACGAGGATCGTGGCCCCATAGGGAGCTCCACCGAAGGCGCCAGTGGCAGGGTTCGCATGGCGGCCTCGGGCCATTTCGGCACACCCCTCACGAGGATCGTGGCCCCATAGGGAGCTCCACCGAAGGCGCCAGTGGCAGGGTTCGCATGGCGGCCTCGGGCCATTTCGGCACACCCCTCACGAGGATCGTGGCCCCATAGGGAGCTCCACCGAAGGCGCCAGTGGCAGGGTTCGCATGGCGGCCTCGGGCCATTTCGGCACACCCCTCACGAGGATCGTGGCCCCATAGGGAGCTAGGGCGCATCACGGCACACCCCTCACGAGGATCGTGGCCACATAGGGAGCTCCACCGAAGGCCCCAATGGCAGGGTTCGCATGGCGGCCTCGGGCCATTTCGGCACACCCCTCACGAGGATCGTGGCCCCATAGGGAGCTCCACCGAAGGCGCCAGTGGCAGGGTTCGCATGGCGGCCTCGGGCCATTTCGGCACACCCCTCACGAGGATCGTGGCCCCATAGGGAGCTCCACCGAAGGCCCCAGTGGCAGGGTTCGCATGGCGGCCTCGGGCCATTTCGGCACACCCCTCACGAGGATCGTGGCCCCATAGGGAGCTCCACCGAAGGCGCCAGTGGCAGGGTTCGCATGGCGGCCTCGGGCCATTTCGGCACACCCCTCACGAGGATCGTGGCCCCATAGGGAGCTCCACCGAAGGCGCCAGTGGCAGGGTTCGCATGGCGGCCTCGGGCCATTTCGGCACACCCCTCACGAGGATCGTGGCCCTATGGGGAGCTCCACCGAAGGCCCCAGTGGCAGGGTTCGCATGGCGGCCTCGGGCCATTTCGGCTCACGAGGACCGTGGCCCCACTGGAGCTCCACCGAAGGCGCCAGTGGCAGGGTTCGCATGGCGGCCCCGGGCCATAGCGGCACATCCCTCACGAGGATCGTGGCCCCATAGTTGCGCTGCTTCAACAACCGCGCATGGGCGTCGTACTCCGCCTTGTCGACGTGCAACGCCACCTCCTCCCTCATGGCTCTCAAGGCCTTCTCCTGCTTCTGCTCCTCGGTGAGAGGGACGCCGTCCTTGTCGTCGTCGGCGCCCGCGAAGACGGCCACGAACGTGTCCCTGAGCATGTCGGGCTCCGGCGGGAAGCCGTGGCCACATAGGGAGCGCAGGCGAAGATGGCATTCACAATTGCGGCATTCACAACTGCATATGGTTGGGTCCTTCGCCAGGATAATTTGTTTTTTTTTGTTTTTTGTTTTTTTTCACAGCCCAGAGATCCAACGCAGTGAAACAAATCAATACGGAGGTTTTCTCAAGTTTCGGCCTCCAGGGGCCCTCGCCGGGCCCCGGGGCCGTCAGAGAACGATCCAGGACGGGAAACTGGTCCCGGGGAACGGGTCGGGACTTCCAGGGACGGCGTCCTGGAAGGATCAGGACGTCGCATGTCTGGGTCTCTTACTCCTCTGCTGCGATTGAGCCCCACGCTTTTGGTGTACCTCTGCGCCCCTACTGGCCGTCTCCTCACGTTCTCCTTCGCGAGCCCCCCACCCCCCCGCCCCACCGTGTTCGGCCGTGGGGCGGGGGCAGGGAAGGTGGCCGCGTCTGCACGGCACTGCGGCCGAGAGCGAGCGAGCGGCCGGCATGGCACGATCCGGCGAGGAGGAGGGAGGAGGGAGGCGGAGAAGGAGGGAGGAGGAGGAGGAGGAGGAGGAGGAGGAGGAGGAGGAGGAGGAGGAGGAGGAGGAGGAGGAGGAGGAGGAGGAGGAGGAGGAGGAGGAGGAGGAGGAGGAGGAGGAGGAGGAGGAGGAGGAGGAGGAGGAGGAGGAGGAGGAGGAGGAGGAGGAGGCTGCCGCGCGCTCTCGGCCAGGGCCCGCGCGGAGCAGCGTCGGCCGGCGTGGGACTATCTGGCGACGGAGAAGCCGCCGGTCGTTCCGGGCTGAACGATCCACGTGTTATGGGGAAAATCCTGGAGGCCTCGCGCGGCGCGTAGTAGTTGTATGATCCAGTCCATACGCCAGCTCCGTAAGCCATGGGTCGACGCTCGCGCGGCGATGCTCTGGCGTCAGTCCGACGTCGATCCGACGCAATTCCGACGCAGTCTGGCGTGAACCTGGCGTACATCCGACGCGGATCCGACGTAAACCGGGTCTCACGTTGCCGCGCGAGGCCTCGAGGATTTCCCTTCTAACGCGCGGCGTCAGAGGCCAGCGCGCAGGTCGTCACGATACGAGCTTGCCGTTCGCTTAAGTCGGGTATGTCCCTCTACAGGAGGAATTTTCAAAAACAGTCAGTCAAAACATACTCTGGGGACTTTTTTTGGGTTGTGGCTATTTTTGTCCATTGTTTTTTGACTACTTTTTAAGATTCGTCCCATACCGCCTGTAGGATTGTGGAGGAAGATCAACGGAGAGGAAGCATGCTGCCAAATAATTTCCAGATGTCCAAAGATGCTTCAGACATTTTTTAATTAATTTTGTCTTCAAACAAAACTTGGAATAATCAGGCTTTCAACATTTGCAGGACATTTTTTCCGACACTTGAGGCACGTTCTTAATTCGATGATCGGACTGTCAGGGTGTCCATTGTCATGGCATCCGCAATTGTAGGATTACGTCGGGCGTGTCCCTCTACAGGGGGATTTTCGACGAAAAATAAGAAATACCCCAAAAAGACCCCCCAAAGGTCAAAACATACTCAAAACATAGTCCCGGGACTATTTTTGGACTTTTTTTTATAGGGACAGGCCCGAAATAACTGTAGGAGGACATGCCCGGCCTCACCGTGCGCTCTCGAGCGGGGCCGCCGCGCGGTGAGTGCTCCGAGCTGCGCCGTGGCCCCCTGCCCCCGCGGCGACGCCTGCGCTGTCGCCCTCGCGGGGGCGCGCGCGCGCGCGCGCGCGCTCCGCGCGCCCTCCTCTCCTCCTCCCTCTCCTCCTCCTCCCTCCTCCTCCTCCTCCTCCTCTTCCTCCTCCTCCTCTTCCTCCTCCTCCTCCTCCTCCTCCCTCCTCCTCCTCCTCCTCCTCCTCCTCCTCTCCTCCTCCTCCTCCTCCTCCCCCTCGTCTCCTCCCCCTCCTCCTCCTCCTCCTCCTCCTCCTCCTCCCCCTCTTCCTCGGGCGGGTCCAGCGCGGGATTCCAGGAGATCCGCGCGGATCCTTCGAGAAAACAGACAAGCAGCCATGACAAAGAAGACAGAAAACAAAACACCACAACCAAAGACATAAACAAAGACACAGACATTATCCCAATGCGACCCTACCTAGGAGTTTGAGCTCTTAGGAAAGCAGCATTTGTAGTAACAATAAAGCTAAGCTAACGTTAAACTAAAGCTAAACTAAAGCTAAGCTAAACCTAAGCTAAATCTAAACTGAAGCTAAGCTACAGCAAAGCTAACGCTAAGCTAAATCTAAGCTAAAGCTAAGCTAAATCTAAGCTAAAGCTAAGCTAAAGCTAAGCTAAATCTGAGCTAATACAAGCTAAATCTAAGCTGAAGCTAAGCTGAAGCTAAGCTAAATCTAAGCTACAACTGAGCTGAAGCTAAGCTAAAACTAAGCTGAAGCTAAGCCAGAACTAAGATAAAGCTAAACTAAAGCTAAGCTAAAGCTAAGCTAAAGCTAAGCCATAGCTAAACTAACGCTAAGCTAAATCTAAACTAAACTTAAGCTATATCGAATCTACAGCTAAGCTGAAGCTAAGCTACAACTAAGCTTAAGCTAAGCTAAATCTAAGCTAAATCTAAGCTAGCGCTAAACTAAAGCAAAGCTAAAGCTAAGCTAAATCTAAGCTAACGCCAAGCTAAAACTAAGCTAACGCTAAGCTAAAGCTAGCGCTAAAGCTACAGCTAAAGTTAAAGCTAAAGCTAACGCTAAAGCTCCCAGGGGACTGGGGGAACCGCGGGGCGGATCCTGGGGGAACCGCCCGGGGCGAGTTCCACTGCCCGGCCCTTCAAGCCCAGAGAGTGAGAGCCCTCCCAGGCAGAGCCTAGGTAGGGAATAAACAACAACCATAGCAGAACGCCCCAAAGACAGAAACACAAGCAAAGGCAAACAACGAACAACCTGGATGATTATTTGTTTTGATTGTCTTCGGTTTTTGTTATTTCGTTTTTTTGTTGTTGTTCTCTTCTGCTGTGGCTCTTCTCTTCCAGGTGCGGCTGTCCGACCTGCTGGAGCCAGACCTGCTGGCCAGGACACACCCGGGAGGAGAAACCGCGGCACGGGCAGCCGGGCAGGAGTAACCTGGAAAACTAGGCAGAAAACAGTCTGGGGAGGATTTGTTGGACCATTTCTGCTGATCAGGGGAGTATTTTTCGAATATTTTTCGAGTATTTTTTTGGTTCGACCATTTTTGCTGATCTGGGGAGTATTTTCCGGGTATTTTTTTTTGGTTCGGCCAAACTTCCCCTGTATAGGGGGACAGGCCCGACCGAATGCTCGTGATCGTTCTCTTGTCCATTGTTTTGCGCACCAGCGCGGGCCCTCGCATGCCCCCCCCCTCTTCCCCCCCCCCCACGGCGCAGACCTTGGCTGCGCGTGGGCGCGCGGCTCCGAGCCGGTGGGGTCTCTCCCCCCCCACGGGGCGCCCTGCTGCGAGGGTCGCACCGAGCAGAGGTCCGGACCTGGCCCCCCCGCCTCCCCCCTTTTCTCGGGCCGGGCGAAAGGGGGGGATTGGGAAAGGGGGTTACGAAATTTGCTGCATGCAGCTGGTTTCGGCCTCACCGAGGGGCCCATTCATCGATACATGGCCGCCTCCGGCGCCGGGAGGCGCCGGGAAAATCAGCTACGTGAGCTGATTCTCAAACCCCCTCTTTGCTATCCCCCCCTTTCGCCCGACCCGAGTTTCCGCGCCCTCGTGATCTTCCTCTAGGGCCCCTCTTGGGGCCGTCTTGGGGCCCTCCTGGGGTCGCCTTGGTCGCCCCTTGGGCCGTCCTGGGGCCCTGGCCCTCTGGGGAAGGCTCTTCGGGGCTCCCCTGGGGCGTCTCGCAGGCTTATTGGGCCGCCTTGGAGCCATCTCGGGCGTCTTGGACCGATCGTGCGCCGATTCGGCACCCTTGGACTGTTCGGGCGGCCTCTTAGGGCCCTCTAGGCCCGTTTTGGGGCCCTCTTGGCCCCGAGCAATCGGGGGTGGACAGAACCCCCAACAGTGACACGTCGATTAGTGAATTGTCCTTTGTCGGTTCTCGAGAGGGCGCCGCGGCCGTTATTTTCAAGGCTTGCGCCCGCCAGGTTTGGGCCCGAGGTCGTTTTCACTAAACCATGTTTGGCTAAAGGGAGGTCTGTCCATCCCCGACAATGTCGAAACGCCGAATAAAGAAACGTATATATGGTCCCAGAGATCCGATGCCGCGATCTTTTCAAGGCGCGGTCCCCCGAAGTCTCGACCCATTCCCCAGGTCCGTTTTTTCATCCTGAGCCGTTGTTTGATGGTCCTGGGGCTTGGCGAGGGCCCTCTGAGGCCCCAAATTGAGAGAAAACATCGTCTTGATTTTTTCAATACGTTGGATCTCTGGGCGCCCGCCTTCCGCCTGCGAGGGCCACCCCCGCTTTTTGCCTGCGCCTGCCGCCGCCCCTGCCCGCCGGATGACCCAGGCGAGGGCCCCTAGAGGCCTCAAATTGGGAAACACCTCCGTCTTGATTTTTTCAAGGTCGCCACTTCCTGAATGCCTCGTCGGCCCGCTCTTCGCCGGCCTCTCTGGCCATGTCGCTCCGAAGACTTCCACTTGGGCGCTCCAGGTCTTCGCATCCCCGGCGCGGATGCCTATGATCGAGTCGGGCATGTCCCCCCACAGGAGGAATATTCGAATAGTCTGGCTACGATTTTTGACAAGTCTTGATTTGATTGTTGGATGATGTCTTGACTATTTCTTATTTTTCGTCCAAGATCCCCCTGTAGGAGGACATGCCCGACCCAACCCCATGATCCTATCGCGCTGTGAACAGAAACTTCCGGCCGTCCCCGCTGGGGCCCTCCCCCCTGGCGCGCGGAGCGCGCCAGGGCCGGCGCCGAAGGCGCCGCCAAGGTGGAGCCAGTGCCGCTCCAAGAAACCTGCGCGGACCTCCGCAGGTTACGTCAGGTTCCTGCGGCGTTGGCGCGCCAGCGTCGCCGGCCGGCGCTGTCGTGGGGCTTTGCTGTGTTCTTGCTCGTCAACGTTTGCGTGGGAGATCCACCCACAAAAAGCGCGTTCAAGGTTGAATTCTGCGACGCTGAAGCACAGAGGGACATTGTCATGCCGCTGGACCTCACGGAATTCAACCTTGAACGATCGGGGCCGCGATCGATTCCAGGTTGAACGATCGACGCGATGTCAAAAGCCTTTGCGCACGTCGACGCCGCACGAACCTGCCGTATGTCTGTACAGTTTTTGTGCCTCCTCTGCAGGAGCCTGCAGCTGTCCAGCCGCTGCCTGCCCCGCCAGGAGTTCGACCGTGTGCTGCTGGCGGTAGAGCCACAGCTGCAGCACCGGGAGCTCGAGCGGCTGCACGGCCAGGCCCGGCAGTCGCGCGCCGTGCTGCACGACGGGTCGATCGACGTCCACACCTTCGTGAGCTGCTTCGCTCAGGACAGCTACGGGTCCATGGGGCAGGGCGGCGACCGCTGGGCCTCGGCGGTGCTGCGGCGCGTGGCCAGGCGAGTGCAGATGGCGCTGAACGCGCCCGGGAACCTGTTCAGCAGGTTCAACCTGGACGGCTCGGGGTCCCTCTCTCACGCAGAGTTCGAGAGGATGCTGCTGGTGCTCGACCCGCGGGTGACCCCGCACGACGTGAACGCGGTCTGGCAGCTGGCGGACGCGGACGGGAATGGGCGGATAGACCTGTACGAGCTGATGTCTATGCTCAGGCGCTCGCGGCTGGAGGTGGAGGACTTGCGGCAGATGCAAGCGAACCCGTCGTCCAACAGCGAGCGTGACCAGGTGGTCGAGGTGCGCCTTGCGCAGCTGCAGGGCCGCATGCGCGAACGCGGGGTGCATCTGGCGGACGCCTTCCTGCTCTTCGACCCTCAGCACTGCGGCTACGTCACCCGCGAGGCCTTCCAGCAGCTCCTCGTGAGCGTGCAGTTCGAGCTGCCCCCCTGGGAGCTGGACGCGATCTCGGAGTTCGTGGGCGAACATATCCGTATCCACGGCCTCGCGGGCGGGGCCCCTGGGCCTTGACCCCGCGGATACGGAGCGTTCTTTCGCGGATGCCCCGCGCGGGATATGTCCGTGCGACCGCGTATCCGCGGGATCGCGCCCCTTGAGTCCAGACCGCGAGGGTGCCGATACGGACATGCTCGCCGCTCGTGAGGAGTGGTGCGACACGGAGCGGAACGGGACATTCAACCACCGGGAGCTCACCCGGCAGCTCGACCACGGTGCCCGCGCCAAGGCCGCGGGCGATGCCGCGCGGGCGGTGCACGAGGCGGCCGCGCAGGCTTCGAGGGCCGCGGCGGAGCAGGAGGCGGTGGCCAAAGCCCAGCAGATAGCGCAGGTCCTGCACCAGCAGCAGATAAACCTCGAGCAGGTGTTCCTGCTCTACGACGCCGACAGGAACGGCACGCTGGAGTTCCACGAGCTGCACGCCCTCCTCCGGCAGCTGGACCAGTCGATCCCGGACGACCTCTGCCAGAGGATCTTCGAGCTGGCCGCGGTGAGCGGCAGGATCACGTGCCAGAGCTTCGTCCAGCGCTTCCAGCTCAACATCCCGGCCGCCGCGCCCGTGGCGCAGGCGAGCTATGTGGCCCCCCCGGCGCAGCCTCCGCCGCCGGACGCGCACTCGCTGGCGCTCCGCGTGCAGAGCTGGCTGGAGCCCGCCATGCTCTTCCGGACGCTGGGCCTCGCGGGCCGCCGGGAGCTCCCGAGCAGGGAGTTCTTCCGCCTGGTGCTGGCCCTGGAGCCCGACCTCCGCGAGGACGAGCTCGACCGCGTCCTGAGGCTCGTCGACGACGGGAGGGGCCACGCCGACACGCAGCAGCTGCTGAGGTGGAAGGAGAGCGCTTTTTTTCACCCTCTGGGCCACAGCGCGCGTGATGCCCCCCCCCCCCCCTCCTCCCCTCTCCATCCTCCAGAACGTGGCGCTCTCCCTCCCCCAGTGCGTCCCCAGCACTGCCGCCGTGCGTCCGGCACCGCAGTCTGTCACCGTGGGCGTGGGGCGGGGGCGTTACGTTGTGCTCCTCCCCGCCCCCCGCTCCCCCCGTCCCTTCTACTTCCCGTCCTCGCTGCGAGTGCAAAGTGCTCCCAAGGAGTACCACACGCCACACCCAACCCCGGGGGAGGACCGATGGGCCAAGACCCTGATCCGGCGCGTCGCGCGGCGGGCCGGGGCGATGCTGCAGTCGCCCGAGCACCGCTTCGCGGCCCTGGAGGCGTCGGGCGCAGGCCTCCTGGGCCTCCACGACTTCGAGCGCTGCATGCGGCAGGAGGACCCAAGCCTGACCCCGCACGACATCCAGGTCCTGTGGCGGCTCGGCAAGGGCGACCGCCGCGGGGGAGTCGAGCTGCACGACGTGTGCCTGGGGCTGCACGCGGCGCAGCTGGAGGTGGAGCGGGGCCAGCCTCCGGGGCAGCCGCTGAAGCGGGACGCACGCGACCGCGTTGTGGAGGTGCGGATCGTGCAGCTGGCGCGGCAGCTGGACCAGATGGGCTTCAACCTGGAGAAGTCGCTTGTGCTCTTCGACCCGAGCAGCACCGGCTTTGTGGACAGGCCCAGCCTCCAGGGGCTGCTGCAGCGCGCCGGCTTCGCGCTCGCGGAGTGGGAGCTGGACGAGGTCATCGCCCAGTGCGACGTGTGCACGGACGGCCGCCTGCACCAGCGGGAGCTGGTGCGGAGGCTCAGCAACGGGGGCCGCGCGGCGCTCGCGGCCACGAGCGCAGCGCGCGCGGGGTCTCCCCCGCGCCACGGCGTGACCCAGCCGGGCTACCAGGCCGGCGGCAGCCGCCAGGCGGGCGTCGGCGGCTGTGGCGCGCCGGGGGCCTGCGGAGGCTTCGGCGGGCAGCCGGACCGCTACGGCCGTGCTGCGAGTCCTGCGGGCGCCGGCCTGGGCCTTGGCCAGCAGCAGCAGCAGCAGCAGCAGCAGCAGCAGCAGCAGCCCTGGCAGCAGGCGGCGCCCCAGCAGCTCGGCCAGCAGTACGGGCAGGGAGGCCCACGCTTCTCGTCGTCGTCGTCGTCGTCCTCCTCCTCCTCCTCCTCCTCCTTCTCCTCCTCCTTCCTCCTCCTCCTCCTTCCTCCGTCTCCTCCTCCTCCTCCTCCTTCTCCTCCTTCTTCTCAACCTCCTCCTCCTCCTCCTCCTCCTCCTCTTCCTCCTCCTCCTCCTCCTCCTCCTCCCCGTCTCTGTTCTTCCACCTCCTTCTCCTCACCCTCCTGCCCACCGTGAAGGTCAGACCAGCCAGCAGTATGGACAGCAGTACGGCCAGCAGTATGGTCAGCAGTACAACCAGCAGCAGCAGCAGCCGCCGGTGAACCACCTTCAGCAGCAGCAGCAGCAGCACCAGCAGCAGCCTATGCAGCATCAGCAGCAGCCCATGCAGCACCAGCAGCAGCCCATGCAGCACCACCAGCAGCAGCCCATGCAGCACCAGCCGCAGCAGGGGTACTACGGTCAGCAGGTGTGAGGATGAAAATTATGATGAGGAAAGTAGGAGGGGGTAGGAAGAGGATAATGAGGAGGAATGAATAAGGAGCAGCGCGGAGGGAGCAGTGGGAACAGAACGAGGAGGAGGATAAGGAGGACTCCGCATCGTCCTCCCTCCTTTCTACCGCCCATCCTTTCTTGCTTTGTGCCTACATGGAGTGATGGAGGCTGTGTCTGGGAGCACCTGCTTTGAAAGGAGGAGAGCAGTTTCCTTTCAACAGAACTGGGGCAAGTGCCGGCGGGAAGCACCCGGCTGCTGCTGCTTCTCCTCCTCCTCCCCGCGGAGAGGAGGAAAGGAGAAGGAGCACCAGGACGAGGACTCGTGTCTTGCTGTGGGCCACTGCCCGCCGCAAGCCTCGCGCAGGAAGCCGCCAGGTGTGGACAGTGCAGTGCCAAAAAAGACGGGCGCACGGGGCCCGCATGGAGCGTGACGCGCCGAACCTCACAGGGGGGGCGAGCTGCCCCGAGGGTGTGCAGAAGGAGGGAGATGTTTCGGGAGGGGGAACCATTTTTTGATTCGCGGGTCGAGAGCGCACCTCATCCGGTCGAAGCGAAGCGGGCCGCGCGAAGCTTGAATTAACAAAGAGGGGGGGGGGGACAGAAGGAGCGCGGCCTCACGGCAAGGCCGGGAGGAGGCAAAGCCTCGGGATCAGGCGGTGCCGAAAACGACGTGCTTGCAAAGGAACGCCTTGTACAGGATCCCGGTGGCGAAGTACTGGCAGAAGCAAAATGCTGTGGTTGGTGTTGCCGTCCACGGCTCGTCATGTACACCAGCCTCGAGTGGGCGGCGAGAGGAGACGCGCCTTGTACCCAAGCGGCGTCGGCCAGGGAGCCCGGGAGGGGGAACAAACACACACAGACACAAGCAATCGTCGACTCCCAGGAAGATATGGGAAAACGTGGGAAGGGGGGGGGAATGACGAAAATCCGGAAATTGTTGAAACATATGAGGGATCCTGGGATTTGTGTGTATTTGTTCGTGTGTCCTTGGGCCCCTTGAATGTTGGCACCAGCCTCGAGGTTGAAATTATCCGGCTTGGAGCCGTCTGCGGGTCTGAGGTGGCCAAGCATCGGCTTCGGCCAGCAGGACAAGAGGGTCGGTTAGTGATTCTGGGTTCGGGAAGGTTTGTTGCCGTTGTCGGCCTCGGGGGGCTTTTTTCGGGCCCTGGGACAATGACAACTTGATCGGGGTGAAGAACTGCCCCAGCAGGACCCCGGCAGGGGTCCGGGGACCGATTTTGAGTGGGTTTGGCCTTGTCCCCCCCTCCTGACTGATTTTCTTGGGTCGTAACTTGTTCAGCCCCCCCGGCCGCCTCCGAAATCCGACTGGCTCTGCGAAGTTCTTATGCGACGCCATTCGTGATGAAGCAGCTGGCAGTCACGAGGGAGATGAGGCAGTCCGACCCAGCAGGGCTTTGCAACTCGGCGCCAGCAGCATCCGACAGCAGCCTTCCATCAGACATCATCTGCAACAGCTCCTCCGCTCTCGTCGCGTGAGTCCAGGTAACACCAGAGAGCCAGTCAAAGACAACGACACTCGATCCGCACCAAGGGAATCCCAGACTTCCCCGCAATCGTTGGCACCACGCGCACCGGCACCTTCAGGAACTGGAGGCTCTCGAACGGCACCGGCTTGAGGCGCTTCCTCCAGGCGTAAGAAGGCAAAAGTCGGACTCACTCTGTGAGAACCAGCAGCCACCTGCCATCATGAGCACTGTCAGCGCCATTATCTTCAGGAATAGCAGCCGCACACCCTCAGCACGGCCCGTAACAAGAGAAAGCGCTGTAACGGTATCGTTTTTTTTACCATGCATCATTCGGCTGACGTTTCCGCATGCGCTTCAATCTACTGTTGTCCTCAGCCTCAGCCTTCTTGTGGTCGCAGGTCGGTACCAGCTTGTCACCTATGTAGTACTCCTTGTGACCTAAGGCTGAGGGGCCACTGGCCTGGTCCTCCTCAGCGGGGTCCACGGCCCTCCACATGGCGGCGGAGGTGGCGGCAACGGTCGCGAAGTCGAACTGGTCTGCCCAGGAGCTGGTCAACGAGCATCTTTGCTTATAGGTATACCGAGCAGAAGTCACAGGGAGGAGGAGAAGGATGATGGTGATGCTGCTGCTGCTGATGATGAGGTGGAGGAGGAGCAAGAGGAGGAGGAGGCACCAATGGACGAGGAGGAGGAGGAAAGGGAGGAGGAGGCGGAGGAGGAGGAGGAGGAGGAAATTGATGATGATGATGATGATGATGATGATGATGATGATGATGATGAGGAGGAGGAGGAGGAGGAGAGGAGGAGGAGGAGGAGGAGGAGGAGGGGGGGTGGAAAATCACTTCCCCCGTCCTTTTTTCCTCACTTCAGCCCTTCTTCTGTCTTTGTTCTTACGAATATGGTGCGGAGGTCTCTGTGTCGAAGGGCAGCTGTTGTGAATTTGACTGCGCGTGCGGCGAGGAAGGAGCAGCGGCCGTGCAAGAAGACGAAGGGCAAGCAGCGAAATATACTGTTGCTGCTCCTCCTTCTGTTCTTCCGAGGTCCCAGGTGGCCTCCAGAGGCCACTTGGGGCTAGGAGTGCTCCACACATTCGAACATCGGTCATTGTTTCTCCTCCTCCTCCTCCTTCTGCCTCTCCTGCTCCTATGACACCCTCCTTCTCCCTCCTCCTCCTGCCTCCTCCTCCTCCTCCTGCCCTTCCTTCTGCTGCCGGTGCTGCTGCCAGAGCAGCAGCAGCAGGCGCAGATGGCGCCCGCAACGTCGCCCTCTCTGCAGAGGGTGGTCGACCAGCTGCGCGCGCTGACGTCAAGGAGCTCCCCCGAACAGGCAATCGTCGTCTTCGCCGTCGCCCTCGTCGTCATTGTCAGTGGTCGTCGTGGTGGTCGTCGTCATTCTCCTCCTCCTCCTCTTCCTCCCCCTCCTCCTGCTCCTCCTCTTCCTCCTCCTCCTCCTCCTCCTCCTCCTCTTCCTCCTCTTTCTCCTCCTCCTCTTCCTCCTTCTTCTCCACCTCCTCCTCCTTCTCCTCCTCCCCCTCCTCTTCCTCCTCTTCCTCCTCCTCCTCTTCCTCCTCCTCCTCCTCTCCTCTTCCCTCCTCTGGGCCGTCGAGGGGCCTCCTCGCCGCCACAGCCGGATCCGTCCTGGAGCCCTGGTGGGAGCGCGCTCCTGGACGCGTGCCGGGGGTCGACCGGCTTCGAGGGCGAGGATGAGGCTCCTGGGCTTCGCGAGGGAGTCATGACGGGCACGGTCTCTCGGCCATGCGCAGAGGGGGTAGGGGGAGAGGGGAGGGCTTCTTGGAAGCACCCCTGCTTCTTAGAAGGCGCGGGCCTTCTCTATAGACGTAAGGCCGAGGCCTTCTAAGAAGCAGGGTGCTTCTAAGAAGCCTTCCCCCCTCCCCCTACCCATTTTTGCTCGCCGCCAATCCTGGGCGTCGCGAGGGAGTCATGACGGGCACTGTCTCGATGTCTCGGCGTCCAGGGGCGGGGTGTCTTCGGGCCCTGGGACCTGCAGGGGGAGCGGCCCGCTGCAACGACGAGAGCGGGCAGGAGTCTGGGCGAATGGATGGATGGAGGGGAGGGGTGGCTGGGCGGGTGGAGTCACGGGCGGGGGGAGGACGGCGATGATGACGGTGAAGATGGTGGTGGTGGTGGTGGTGGTGGCAACCATGAGGACGATGATGGTGAGTAGGAGGAGGACGAGGAGGAGGAGGCGGAGGAGGACGATGATGGAAATAGTGACGATGTTGATGATGACGACGGCGATGACGACGGCGATGCTGATGATGATGATGATGATGATGATGATGATGACGACGATACTGATCATGATGCTGCTGTTGCTGCTGCTGATGATGATGCTGCTCATTATGATGATGCTGATGATGATGGTAATGATGATGCTGCTGATGATGGTGCGTATTGTTATGGTGATGCTGATGATGCTGATGCTCATGCTGACGGTGACGATGCTGCTGATGATGGTGATGATGATGCTGACGATGATGGTTGTGATGGTGATCATGAATATGCTGATCATGATGATGTTGGTAGTCATGGCGAACGTGCATGCTAATGAGGACGGTGAGATTGAGGACGACGACGACGGTGGTGACGACGACGAGGGTCATGATGCCGGCGATGATGATGCTGCTGCTCATGACGACAACGTTGATTATGAGGACGACGACGATGATAATAATGATGCTGATGATGAGGATGAGGAGTCTGATGATTATAACGATGTTGATGATGCGGATGATGATGACGACGATTGCGACAAGGCTGATGCTACTGCTGCTGCTGATGATGATGTTGGGGCTGTTGCATATGATGATGATGTTGATGGTGATGATGCTGCTGCTGATGATGATGATATTGAAGCTGATAATGATGATGATGGTGATGATGATGATTCGGATGACTAGGATGATTATGATTATGATCATGGTTATGATTATGATGATACTGATAATGATGGTGATGATGATGCTGAACATGATGATGTTGCTGATGATGTCGATGCTGATATGGATGACAATGTTGTGGATGCCGATGGTTATGATGCTGCTGATGGTGATGATGCTGATGATGATGCTGCTGATGATGATGCTGATGCTGATGACGACGACGATGATGATTATGCTGCTGCTGATGATGCTGGTGATGCTGATGATGATGATGGTGATGCCGATGCTGCTGCTGATGATGATGATGATGATGATGATGATGATAATGCTGATGCTGCTGCTGATGCTGCTGCTGATGATGCTGCTGATGATGCTGCTGCTGATGATGATGATGACGATGATGATGATGATGGTGATGATGGTGATGATGGTGATGATGATGCTGATGATGATGATGATGATGATGATGATGATGATGATGATGATGATGAGGATGATGCTGCTGTTGATGGTGCTGATGCCGACGATGACGTTGATGATTATGATGGTGATGATGACGACGATGAGGAGCCTGATCAGGATCGGGGGAGGGGGATCAGTAGGAGGGGCAAGAGAAGTTGGAGGGGAACGCTTATATGGAACAGTGAGGAACGATGAAGAACGACGAAAGCGATGACGAGCAGCTGCAACTGCCGCAACATTTGCGAGGAGGAGGATGAGGAGGAGGGCGAGGAGGAGGAGCAGGAGGAGGAGGAGGAGGAGGAGGAGGAGGAGGAATAGGGGGAGATGGAAGACGAGGTGGGTCAGGA